TACTTTGAACATGAACAACAGGCCCAAGATATTTAAATCGTTCACACTTTTTAATAATTTGATCACCCATAGTAATACTTCTGTCACTAGATCTACTACTACTAAAATTACATTCCATGAATTTAGTTTTAGTTCTACTCAAAAGAAGACCTTTAGACTCCAAGGTAAACCTCCACATATATGTATGTATATATATATAAACATATATGTATGTATATATATATATACATACATATATATGTGTGTGTGTGTGTATTAGAGAATGAGCAGTATACGGCTTCATATATATTAATAGTAAAAAAAGGAGCACAAAAGAGGAAGGGGAGGTGGATCCCCAAAACTAAAAAGCAAAAGCAACAATATACTTTAAAGGAATAACCAGTCAATTATACGAGCCTCCAGTCACCCCTAATGAGCCTAACAATTCGAGTACCACCTCCTTAAGGTCAATTGTGACAGAGGACCTGAGGGGACTTATACCGTAGATGTCAACCAAGAGACCGGGATACACAGCATAATGTATGTATGTATATATATATATATATAGATATACATACATACGTACATATACATGTATAGATACAGATATATACATGTATATCTACATTTGTGTAGAGATACATGTATATGTACGTATGTATACATATCATATACATATGTATGTATATATATACATACATATATGTTTATATATCTATCTATAAATACATAAATAAAGATATATACATATATATATAATATTGTAAGAGAGATTGAAGGAAAGACCTTGCAAGGTAACCATGAGTCCTCTTACGCTTGATGGTGCTGGGCTGGTAAGTTCTTTTAGGAAGTAGGTTCATTGGTTCATTCTGGAAAGCATCCTGGTCTACCAAAAGAAAAATCAAGCGTTAGTTTCACAAGCATGGCATATAGGCCCCACAAAAATTGAAAGAACAAAAAGAATAACACAAGAATAATAGACAAGCATAGGTTTTGAAAATGTACTGCTTAAGCAGCAAAAAACAATTAAAACCGAGAAAGAGTGGCTTATAGAAGAAATGGTTCTCCATGATTTTTTATTATTTTTTATTTTTTTTGGGCAGGTTGAGCAGTCGAACCCGATGCCATCGAATTTTCCACTTTGTTTCCAGCATATGGTTCTAGAGTTTGAAAGTAAAAATCAGGAGGAAAAAATAAGAAGAAAGAATACCAATATACGCCAAGCAGTAGAACAAAATTTGACCTGTAATATTTAGTGTTGGAACATGGTACACTCAGTTCATCAAAACTAGACATCCTAAGTTTGTAAGTCTTCTTTACAAATGAGCATTCATTTATGTTTGAACTTGCGTGCAATATAAACTCAAGTTTTGCAAGTAAGCTTGTCCTTTATGCAGAAACAGTAGCCACCGAGTACAAGCAATCAGAAAGCAAGCCTGTTTACCTCACAATTTTGTCTTAACACAACAAGTGAATTTTATGAGTAACTTTAAAAATGTAGAAAACTAAACAAATATTTCTCGCACAAATGCAGCCGATGACATACAAAATGTAAATGAAAGAAATAGAAAAATGTTCAGAACTGAGAATGGATTAGCAAAATAAATAAAAGTGTAGAAAGATATATAACTCCCAAAAGCTTTATCATCACCACCTTCCCAATTCAAGTATTGGAAGTTGGCATTGGAAGAACACGGAAGGAGAGGAATCAATATAACAGATAAGGGAGAGAGAAATATTGAATAATTTTTTATACAAATGTGATTCATTCATTGATTTAAGTTAAATGAAAACACTTAAATCCCTATTTATATTAAAAAATATTACTTTAAAAATCATGTTAATTTAAAATTCAAAACCAAGTTCCAAAAATGCTTCTATAAATTTAAACAGCAATAACAAGCTTTTATCCCACTAAGTGGGGTCAGCTACATGAATCATTTTGGTCCATTGCGTCCTATTGAGTGTCATATTGTCATTTAAATCTAATAGACTAAGATCATTTATATATATATGCCCCAGTCTTTTTAGTTCTACATCTATCTTTCTTAACATAAATCGAATTTAAGACATTCACTCTTCTAACAGTATCATCGGATGATCGGCGTTTAATGTGGCCAAATCAACTAAGACGACTCTCTCTAATATATTCTGCCACTGGAGCTACACCAACCATATCACAGCTATATTCATTTTGCATTTTGTCTCTATGTGTAAAGCCGCCCATCCAACTAAGCATTCTCATCTAAGCCAATGTTTTAAAAGGCGTCGGGCGTAAATTCTACAATATTAAAAAAAAATAAGAAATATAAATATTAAAAAAAAAATAAACTATTTGTGCATAATAAAAAAATTAAACACAAACAAAGCAAGTCTTCTAGGATTAGAATCTTCAATATACTAGCAAAAAATCCATCAAAAAGATTTGAAACATATAAGAATAAGTAAACATGTTAGAGCCAAAAAATAAATTTATGATCATTTGATCTCAATCCTTGAAGCTACTTCATTCTTTAAACTCATCATCAAAATCTTCTTCTTCACCAATAGTTGCGTCCAAATCGCAACTAAGTCCTTCTTATTCTCTGCACTCATTGTTCACTTCATTGAAGTCATCATCATGTTCAATCTCAGGTGCATTCATAATTTGTTTCTCATTATTTGTTTCTCATTATCATTGTTGTCATTATCATTGTTGTAAAAACTACAAACACAAACAAAATGACATTCGTAGATGGGTTATTTTTTCTATAAGAAATTAAGAATGGATATTTATGTAAAGAACAATTAAATATAAATATGAAACTTACGTTTTCTTCCATTCATTTTCCTTTTCCTATGAAAATTTTATAAAAAATATCATTTCTTCCTTGTGTATTATTTTTTTATTCTTTATTTGCATTTATAGTGGCCACATTTCTGATTACATCAACATTAAAAACATGTTCTTCATTCATCCAAAAAGATTCATGTGGAAGCACCGGATCTTCTTTCTCAACAATCCACTAATCATCAGAGTCTATATCATTTATCAGTATTGGATCAAAGTCTTGTTTTAGAAAAACAAAAAGACAGTTATACTTTGCATGTATATGTCTGATCCTAAAAACTATACATAAAGTAAAAATTTTAAAATTAAGGTACGAGACAAGAGCTAATTGCTCCTGGTCCTCGCCATGTAGTTCCGCGTCAAGTACCTTACAACCCGTGCTCGTACCTTATTTCTAGTATAGAGTCTCCAAAAGACTCTAAAAGGAACATAACAAAGTCTGAAAAAAGACTCGACCTGTATAAAAATCAAGTTAGCACAAAAGCTACCAATATTCAACACGATGAACCATGTCCAATGGATGAGCGCTTAACAGCAACTGCTCCCTGTTGGATATAACTCTTTACAAGATAACCAACACTAATATATGATGCGCCCCTAGTGTGTGCTGTTTTTTTGCATGTTTTACGCAATTTAAATCCCCGGTAACAGTGTCAAGAACTTGACTCGTCCCGAAATTACACAGTAATTTAGCTTTCAAAAATAATGGCCAACAACTTGACCCAACTTATGACCAAAATCTTAACCCATATTTAATGTGCAAAATAATGTGCAAAATAGAAATGTTTATAGAATATATAAAATAGTTCAAACACTAGAAGTTCTACGCAAGTGCATGTATCGCTTCAAGTAATATAGGGTATTTTTTAAAAACCTCGGTATCAATCCCACAAAGAAGCGCAGTAAAAAATCCCTTAGGCTAATTCTAATATACTATTATCAAGTCTTAATTTGGAAAATGAAGATTCTTATGATAATAACATAAATCACAATATTCAAACTATAAAAATTAAAGTAAGAAAAACAAGTTAAAAGAAGTTTAATGAATGCTAACAGAAATGTAACTAAAAAAACTAAGTTTACTAAACTAATTTCTAAACTTTAAAATTAAATTTATAAAGACTAAACAAAATTTTGTAACGAAGAGTTCAAATTTAAGAAAGCATCCTTCTCCTTTACAATGAGTATATGGATAGTGAACAAATTAAAGTCATTTGAAAATATATATATATAATATTTTGTGTCAAATAGGAGCAATGTTATTATTTACCCTCTTCCACGTGCATAAAGAACATTAACTAATCCAGAGTTTGGTCTCTAATTATGTGGCTAGGCTGGGAGGATACCGGCTGTCACTCTAGAGCTCCCACTACTACCTCAGCCGAGGGATATGAGGGCTAACAATCTCACATTAGTTCCCAATGAACTGGATCAATTGAGGATTTTAATGTGTCACCTTAAAAATCTCGAATTCTACATCCAACAAAGTATATTTCTCTATTTATTTGCACTCAACCCCATTGATGAAATAGAAATACTCTCCCATGAAATCAAATGTGATTCTCCCTATGTTTTAGAAATTATAGCTCTTTCGAAACATATGTTTCTCAACACATTTTAACATTTCAATTAGTCAAATCGAAAAGTAAATGAAGATCTGGGTTCAAATCATCACAAATTATTGACATTCAAAATTGTATATAAAAAATCAATTATTCACAAATCATATCTCAAAATAGGTAGAAAGATAAAGAAAACTACTAAAAATTCATGAGAAGAATACAACAAAACACAAATTTCATATATAAAAACAAGTTTACAATACAAAAGAAATAAAAGACAACTTATCTCACACTCCTTCTCAAGCAAATCCCTACAAATTCTCTTCAAATTTTTCTCTCTTTACAAGCACTCTCAATTCTCTCTTAGAAGTGTAATGAAGAAGAAATCTCTCACCTTCTCTCTCTTCTTACAATCCTTAAAGAAAATCTACAAGCCCTTGCTTCTCTCTTGCCTTCTTCTCCACGCCACACACACACACACTCACACCACTCAAAACTCCTCTTGAAGCCCTAGACTTCTCTCTCTTTTATTAGAGGTTGTCTCTCTCCCAAAAGAATTCAAAATTTTCTCCAAAATTTTATCCAAAAGTCAACTCTTTTGAATTCAAAAGTCATGTACATTGATCCAAGAGACATATCTCTTCATAAAAGAATCTTCCAAAGTGTCTAGATACATTGAATCACTCTAATGGGTGTTTAGAACAAGTGTCCATTTGAAAATTTGCCCAAAATTTATCCTGATTTGCGTTAATCCGCAAAAAGTCGTCCATGGCGCATCTAGCGCCAAATCTGGCACACATGCGCCAGTTCAATGAATTTTGGCGCATCATGCGTCACCCTGCAGAAGCTCCACTGTTTTGCTCCGTTTCAACTCTATTTCACTCCGTTTCAGTTGCATTTCACTACTAACAGATAAATCTACAAAATAAGCATAAAAATAACATTTCTTTAAAGTGTTATTTCATTAAAAAACATGTGAGAACTATAAAGTAGATTAAGCATAGAAAGACATATCGAAATGTGACAAGTCAGAATTTTTTTTCTTGCTCATTTTTACTCTAAATTGCATCATTTTTGTTTATTTTCTCCAAATGTTCATTTCTTATACCTGAAATCAAAAATATGCAAAATATCTTCCTTTAAATTATAATATTATTAAAAATCATTAAAATTAAGCATAAAACATTAAAATTAAGCATATAAAATATATATGAAAAAGTAGTTAATTTTTAGGCGTGTCAATATACTAGTGTGCATATCTTACACCGAGTAAATACATAAAGTAGCACAAAATGACTGGTTGGTGCTACTGTATGACTTTAAGAAAATCTTGACATAAAAATAATCAAAAAACAATATCCAGGACAAAAAAATCTTGACTACACCCTAGTCCTAGTCTAGCAAACCATCTAAACACGGACAGCCAAATCACAACATTTAAGTGTGTGCACAGTGTGGGTAAGTGCTACTGTATGACTTTAATAGGGTCGCCAA